AGGTGATGAAAATGTCTCGAGTACCGTATGCATCAGTGATGGGAAGCCTTATGTATGCAATGATTTGTACAAGATCAAATATTGCTCAAGTAATTGGTATGGTCAGCTGATTCATGACAAATCCTGGTAAATAGCATTGGAATGTTGTTAAGATAATCATGAGATACATGAAAGAAACCTCAAATGCTACATTATGTTATGGAGGGTTAAAGTTTATTGTCAGAGGATATGTTGATTCAGACTTTGCAGATGATCATGACAAAAGAAAATCTACCACAGGTTATATGTTTACACTTACATGAGGAGTTGTACGCTGGTTATCTAAATTACATATTGTTGTAGCTCTCTCTACTACATAAGCTGAATATATGGCAGCTACTCAAGCATGCAAGGAAGCAATTTGGATTCAAAGATTAATGGAAGAGCTCTTGCACAAACAACAATCAATTACTGTGTATTGTAGAGAGTCTTGCACATTACAAAGAATCAAACTTTTCATTCGAGGACAAAACACATAGGAACTCAGTATCACTTTGGTAGAGAAGTAGTAGAGGAATGGAGTATGGATATGCAGAACATACACACCAAAGAAAACATAGCATATGTTATGATAAGACCAAACAATGCTCACAAGTTTATATGGTGTCGATCGTTCTATGGTCTGTCAGAAACGTAAGCAGCATGGAATTGGCAAGAGAAGAAAGATTTCGAAAGCTCACCAAAAGTGACATTAAGTGGGAGATTGATTAAATCTATGATGCAACATTTTAGTACTTTTGAATTTATCCAACTTTTCATTGGACGATAGTCGAAAGAGCAAGAGTGCAATATCTATTCAAATTGCATAAGCTAACACGGAAGGAGAAAAAGAAGAAGGAGTGATACGTTTACACGTGAAGCTTCAGCCTATAAATAGAAGGATTCCTCTATATTTTCAAGCATCCCAAAATTCAAGAGAAAGTGTTCTCTTAGTATTCCTCTTGGTTTGGATTGGATCGATTTTCGGTTTTTTGAAAATCCTAAAATTTGTTTTATGATTATTGTGCAAATAACATCTTTTGTATATATTGGCTTTGTAAAAAAAAAATTGAAATACAAAAACATCAGTAAAAGATAATATAATTTTTTTTGGGAAAATGAGATATGAAACTCTCTACACAGATAAAATTTTGTTGATGAGATGTAACTAGGTTTTTTCTTGGATTTAGTTGATGGGTTAATGAATCTTGAGTTTAGAAATTTTTGGGCTATGATTAAGGAAAGACCCAAAGTAGGTAGAGGAGAATTAATATATTAGATCGGTTTAGATTGGATCGGCTTTCTTCAATCAATCCGAAAACCGATCCAATCCAATTAAAAATTGCGGTTTTTTGTTTTGTTTTTGATTTTTCAGTTTTTGGTTTATTCGATTATCAATTTTTCGGTTCAGTCACCGTGATTTAAATCGGTTTGGATCGGTTGATGAATATCCCTAATGTATATAAGTATATTCGCATCATTGAATGAATTTAATAACTTAGCCTTTAATAAAATTCGTAAGGCGAGTTGTTAAAGTCACGAAGGATGCATGATTGATCACATCGTAATTTTATTTTTATGATCCATCAAAATCAAATCACTAAAGTTAATTTCAATTAAAAAAAAAAGTACGTGGTATCCAAGAATGTAAGTTTTTTTTTTTGGTTAGTCTCTAGTGCGTTGAATTAACACCTTTCAATATTTTAAGAAAAGGAAATTGAACTTGTCTTCTAAAGTCGGTGACATTGTACCCTCGGTCTTCAATCTTTTAAGGTTGAAACTCGGAAGCTTCGGACCTTCTGTTCCACTGGAATTTTTTGAGTAATATTTTTTTTTTCATTTTAATCCTTAGCTTGCTGAATTTCTATATGTTTTCATCTTAATAATTAAACTTTATTTAAAGGATTCAATATTTATCCTGAAAATAAAATTATTTATTACAAAATAATATCATTTTGAGGTTGGAGAAAATATAACATTTTAAAAAATTTCATGTGGTAAAAGAGAAATGAAAATTTTAACATGCTTGTATTTTTTATTTTTTTTAAAGAACTTCAAAATGAGATTTGAATTACAGGATATACTTTTTCTTATTTAAATATTTTTAGGAAAAAATATTTGTCATTCAAAAAATATAATTGTGTGTTATTTTAAGTGAAATTATTGCGTTTTGTGAGTTTTTCCCTCCTATCTTGTACACAAATAATTTTTTTCTCTCGTCCTGATTTTATGGAGGAAAGAAACGATAAAAACCCATTAAATGTCCTTTAAAGTGACAAATATTTTGTTTCTATATTTCTATTTTAAGGCGAGTTGGCTTTTCAATATCCCTACAAGTTTCAATTATTGGAGTCGGCTATAAAATTAATATTGAGTCGGGACTATTCTGGACTTATATAAGGCCTATATACCTAAAAGTCTAGTAATTATATACAATGATATGCTACCTCAAACTATCTAATTTATAGATATCTAGAGAGAATATTTGATCTTATATCGATCTACTAACCTTTAGTTAGATACTTCTGTCACTCAGATAAAATAAAAACATAATCACAGTTAAAATTCTTTGTGTTTTTTCAAATATATATTTGGTTTGTATCCTAATTTAATTTTTTTGGTAAATATTAATGGGTTTATTTTTTCTGCAGTCAATGTAAATAAGTTATCTATATTGAGTTCAAAATGATATCGTTTTGGAACAAATATTAAGATATTTTTATAATTATAATTTATTTTAAAGTTATAATTGTCTTTCTCATTATAATTTTTTAATTTTTAATAAAATGATGTTATTTTGAGAATAAATATAGATAATTTATCAATATTTATTGTAGAAACATTGAAACGAATATTAATTTAACTTGTCTTCCTCGTATCTAAGTGCATGTATTTTCCATAAGCAGCCGTTTCTTGCACGGAAGATTGTGGACAGTTGTGGTCCTTTTGGATGATCAAATTGCTGATAAAGTGTTAAAGAGTCAAATGAATTATTTTGGAGGTCCAGACACTGTGACAATCACTCTGTTGTCATTAAATTTGTCCTCTTTATCCCAAGAAAGCAGCCAAAGGAAAAATGGAAAGAAAGATCCATAAAAAACAAAAACTATGGAATATGGACCACAAAATTATTAAGTATTTAAAAGAATTCCAAAACTTAAAAAGTTTTTTTTGTATAGGGTAAACTATGGAATATGGACCAAGTATTAGAATTATATGACCCATGTCATCAAAAGATTATTAGAATTATATGACCCATGTCATCAACACTTTCCACTTTGCTCCTCCTTTTTTGACCCCCCCAGCAGCCACTAGATGCCGACTATTTCTTATAATTTTGTCAAAATATTTTTTTATTTTTTATTTTTTTACACCTCTCATTAAAAGAGCGTGAATTAAAAATGTGAGACGCGACTACCAAAGGAGTTGAGTTTCTGAAAATCATAAAATCTGGTAGGAAAAACATTGCAGTTCATGTGATCCTGTTAGAATAAGATTAATTGAGTAATACATGAACCGATAAATAATATAAAAGAATGGAAAAGAAAATTTATGTTACGATGAACTTAAAATTAGAAAGTAGAAATAATCATAATCATGCGAGTAAATTATATTTTCCTTCTTTAACGATGTTTAAGTTATACCGTTCTCCTTTTTATTTTTAAAAGTTACATTTTTTTCTATAAATAATTTATGGGAAAAACACTTATCCTTTTAAAGGATATAACCTTATATCATTTTAGATCCTAACCGTTGATTTCCGTCCATCAACAGTTATAATCTATTGGGTCAAACTTAATGGGCCAAATTTATTATTAATTAATTAATAATTTTGATCCAATAAATTATAACCGTTATGGACAGAAATCAACGGTTAGGATCTAAAATGATATAAACTTCTATCCTTTAAAATGACATATGTTATTCTCATAATTTAATATATGTTACATTTTAGTCTATTTTAACATCAATGGGTTTTTAAATTTTTCTTTCCTTTTTTGTAACTCTAAACATCACTAATCGTTGAATTCTTACAACAAACTTTGAGATTTTATAAAATGAAATAAATATTTTGAATGAAATCTTAATATTGATAATAGGGATGCTCAAACTTCAATTCATTTTTAAAGATTCAAAGTTGATAGGAAGATAGTCAAAATTAATTGCAACTAACACATTTTTTGTTAAGAGATTTGTTGATTTGTTTACAAAAAAAAAATTAAACTGTAAAACATTTTTATCTTTTAATGGAAAAGACTGAAAAAATTTAAAATAAAGAAAAGAATAATATAATTTGAATAGCTCTCAATAACGAAGAGTCTAAGTTCCCTAAATGAATTAAAAAATCAAAATGTATATATAGATTTATATGAAATTTATTTAACAAAAAAACAATAATAAGGGAATGTTATATTTACAAACTTTTTGTTTACAAACTACATTAAGTATGACCGGTCATACTTCTATCAAGAGTGAATGACTGGTCATACTTAGTATAATTTGTAAAAAAAAATTGTAAATGAATCTTTCTTCCAATAATAAACTTGAACACCCCCAAACTTTTTTCATAAACGTAGTTGCCTTGTCAATTGTTGATGTGGGGAAGGATCAAGTGGGCCTGCATGCATGGGCTTAGCCTGACCCAAAAAAGCCCATGAAGACACCAAAATATCAATGAAAATGGAAAGGTTGGGTTTTGGATAAGGGATAAGGTTTTGATATACGTATAAACTTGAACACCCCAAGCTTTTTTCGTAAACTTAGTTGCCTTGTCAAGTGTTGATGAATGGAAGGATCAAGTGGGCCTGGATGCATGGGCTTAACCCGACCCAAAAGAGCCCATGAAGACACCAAAATATCAATGAAAAATAGAAAGGTTGGGTTTTGGATAAGGGATAAGGTTTTGATATACGTATCAGCCAATGAGATAAGAGGGGCTTCAATAGCCACAACCTTAAACTTGCATAGAAGCATGAAAGTACTTAGCCACTATGGTCCCTCATTTCAGCCACTATGTGTAGCAACTATTAGTGTTGTTTCACTTGTGGAACTAACAAATTAAGACCATGGCAGCTTCTTCTCCAATGGCGAGCCAACTCAAGTCCACCTTCACTAGGCCTCTGGTCACACCTAAGGGTCTCTCTGGCTCTTCTCCACTTCACCTCTTACCTTCTAAAAGACAATTTAGCTTCACTGTTAAGGCCATCCAATCTGAGAAGGTAAGCTACTAAGCTACTTCTTCCTATATGTGTGTCTTACACTTCTTTCTTACTTAATTCTAACCTATTATAGTTTATCTATCTAATCTAACCAATGTATTATGTATGAGAGCAAGTACGAATGACCCTTTTATTTTTTCTGCCTCATCTTTTCTTACATGCCTTAATTGATGAATTGCTTTTATTATAGAAGCAATGATGATATAGATTCGGATTGATGATGGCAGTATATTTTACTTTTAACATATGGTTTTGGAAAAATATTTCTGCAGTTAATCCAGATAAGTTATCTGCATTTATTCTCAAAACGACGTCGTTTTGGTATTGAAATCTTAAAAATTATAAATATAAAGACTATTATAATCCTGAAATAAATTAAAATTACAAAAACACCTTAATTTTCATCCAAAACGACGTCGTATTGGACTTACTGCAGATAACTTATTTGCAGTAAACTGCAGAAAAAGCGAACCCCCTATTTATATAGGGTTTTATAAGAGTTATATTGTAGGAAAAGTGATTGTGTAATGTTATAGAGATTCGTTTTGCGTGCCATAGTTTTTTTTTTTTTAAGTGTGAGTCCCACAAAATGTTGTGTGTGTAGAAAAATTTTTCTGGTCATGTTAAAGGACAAACTAAAACCCCATTTATATATATAGGATGTGTTTGGTACATAATTAAAGATAATACAAACATAACATGTTGGTTGTACTTTTAATTTTTTGTGCAATTACCTAACACAATTAAGTGTTTGATATGCACAATTACCTTACAGAGTCAAACAAAATTTACTATGCTTGTAACCTTGTTCGATTGCTGAGAATTTTTTATATTTTTTTCATGATGTGATAAAAATTTGTGAAAATGGGTGACAAAAATTCAAAATTTTGTTTTATCCCTTAAACTTTTTCTTTGTCCAGTATTTAAACTACTTCAAAAATATAATAAAGTGCTTTTTTTTCACAAATGATTGGTGTTTTGTGGTGATTGCAATTGCTGGGGCAGCCAACCTATCAAGTGATTCAGCCAATCAATGGTGACCCATTCATTGGAAGCCTTGAAACTCCAGTTACATCAAGCCCCTTGATAGCATGGTACCTGTCCAACCTGCCAGCATATAGAACTGCAGTGAGCCCATTATTGAGGGGGATTGAGGTGGGTTTGGCCCACGGGTTCCTGCTTGTGGGCCCATTTGTGAAGGCCGGGCCTCTGAGGAACACACCTTATGCTGGAGGTGCTGGCTCTCTGGCAGCTGGTGGGCTTGTGGTGATTCTCAGCATGTGCCTTACAATCTATGGGATTTCATCCTTCAATGAAGGGGCACCATCCACTGCACCATCCCTTACTTTGACGGGCCGCAAGAAGGAGCCTGATCAGCTTCAAACAGCTGAAGGTTGGGCCAAGTTCACTGGTGGGTTCTTCTTTGGAGGCATTTCTGGTGTTACTTGGGCTTACTTCCTTCTTTATGTGTTGGACCTTCCATACTACTTCAAGTGAACAACTTTCTTTCTTTCTTTCTATTACTCATTCTCAATGAATGCTTATGCTTATGTGTGCTATTGAGATTGATGTACATTTTGTGTTTTATGACTCTCACTTTGTTACAATGTTAAATCCTCTCTCATGTTTGGATCATCTTTTAATAGAATTAGTGAATTACAAATTAATATGTCCAAATTACATGGCATTCAACTTCTTCAAATAGCTTATCATGTTGACACTGAACAAATGAGAAAGTATATTATGTACTAGGAATAATTACAAACTGAGAGATACTTATCTTGGTTTAATTATACACATTTACATAGAAATTTAATCATGACTAACATTATTGTAAACGTTGCTCACCATAATATATGTATATATATATATATAACTTCAACATTCAAATCGTGCTTGCATGTTTCTAGTTTCTAATACATCATATATAAAATAAAAACTTCAATTAACTTGGAGAATGGTGCTGTCTAGATTGAGAAGATAAAGAGAGCAGCTCAGGAGGTATGAGATTTTCCAATCCTCTCATGGGGTCAGCAGAAGTTGCAATACCATCCAAACCAATGTGTGTCACATGCTGCACATTTGTTGGGCACCCTATTTCCATGTCAATTTCAAGTTCTTCTAACTCCTCTTCTTTTTCCACTACAAACAAACAAACAAAATTAAATCCACATGCAAAACAAAGGGACCATAAAATTAAATCATCATGTTAAGTACCACATGCATACTCACAAAACAATTGAGAGAAGTTCTTGAAACCCTTGAATAGCCTATTGAAGCTAGTGGATAGGTTAGGCTTTGGAACAATGTCAAGCAACCTCAACGAGTTCTTCATGCTTTCACCAGACAAATTCTCTGGATCATCAACGCCTTTAGATCCTTCTAAACTTATCATATAATAAAAGATTAGATGGAAATCAAGATATTTAAATATATCATAATTAAGTGTGTGTGTGTGTGTGTGTGTGTGTGTGTGTTTCAAAAGAAATTGGAAAGAAGATGATATAAAATGGGAAAATATTTTTATACCCCATTTTCTTTTTCACATATTTACTCGTTTGGGGAAAAAAGAAAGAGAGAAAGAAGTGTGTTTCTCAGTTTCTCTACCTAATTACAAAAAGTAATATAAGAATGATGTAATAGAAATAGTGTATAAATATCTTTGTTGATATAAAATTGAGATAGATAGAGAGATAGAGAGAGACTTCTTGGTATGCTGGTGTCTGATTTTGATCTTCTTGGCTGTGGAAGACCTACAGCAACACTGGCCTCAGAGATACAACCAGTAGAGAAAGGAAGAATGACAAGCCTTTCCATTCTTTGTCTCATTCTTTCTTAAGGGTGAATGAAGATCAATTGGTATTGGAGCTTGAGCAAGCAAAAATGCAACCTTGAGTTGAGATTTGACAAGTACAATATATAATAGCTATAGGCTATAGCCGAGTAGTTGTTGTAGTTATAATATAATAATGAGACACAACACAAGTGGCACTCACTTCCTTTCCCTTAAAATTCAATTTGTTGTGGAGCATGTTATTATTATTACGTATAGAAAGTCAAGCTACATATGGTTAATAAATCCGTTTGGTATATGAAAGGGACATAACCATAGGCATGATCAGGGTATGTATGTCTGGACTTGTTTAAACTAATTATAATGCAATGTATATAACACTGTCAATTCCATCCATCAATTCACTTTATGTGTATCTAACGAACATCACCTTGAAAAAGTAGGTTGAGTAGTGAGTGAATAAAGCAAAACCAAACTCCACAACCTTGAAATCAGATCACATCATAATTTTCCCCTTAGAGTGCTCCCCATATCTACTTTACTCTCATTTCCTTCACTTGCCTCTCTTCTACAATAAGTCATCATCAATTTCTTTTTGTTTTTTTTTTCCTCCCTTAATCTTTGTTTCAGTTAGTTTATATTACACTTTTTTTTTTTTTTTTGGGTAACATAAAAGCTCTTATCTATGTTCCTTTTTGTTTACTTGTTTTGGACTCGAACTAGAAGTAGTGCATCCCAAGCGAACTTCATATCCACCTCCTGGCGATGGAGACCAGATCTGATATTTCTTGTATACAAAGAAGCAATGCATCATTGATTGCAAGAATAGAAAATGTGTTTGTTGAAGGCTGGTTGAGTTGCCTGCCTTATAGTACATTACTTACTAAATGTGATGTGTGTTGATTAACGGAACCTTAGCAAGTTAATAAAGCTTAAATGAGTTCTTACTCTTTTTCCTTTTTTTATAAACTACATGTCCAACCAATCCACATTCATGATATTATCTATCACATATAATTTGCAAAGACCAAACTGTTCCTTTAATGTAAATTAAGCACTCAAAATAATGCAAATGTTGTTATCTTACTTAACCAAGCTCACTAAGATTATCATTATTGCAAAGCAGTAAAGAACTAATGACGCGTTCATAAAACTATGAGAATTAACTTAGCCTATACGAGGCTACAAGTATCAAGTAATTTTTAAACTCTTTCTTGCCCATAACGACCACGACAACTTAATTAATAATACAAGATCAAGTTGTCCTTTTCTAGTTGTGACCAACCAAGTGTGTAAATTGTAACGTTAAGAATTGCACGTAACATATATTTCATTGCCATCCAAAACACGAGGAAAAAAATATTGATGCATTTTCTTCTGTTCAAAATTATTAATTGTAAGGATACAACTACATCTTTCAATTGTTTCAATTCAATCATTCCGAATTGAATAACTGTTTACGTCTGTTATGCCTGATATTACAATTTTTAGGAGCAAGAGTCTTTCAGATTTTCCGTTGTTAAAACTAGGAAGTGTATTACTAATACATGGGAAATTGTTAAGCCATAGAGCACTAGAGCAATTCCAATCTGAAGTTCCATCAATCTTAACAAAAACTGCATTGTGAACCAAAGCCCAGATGGCAGAGAACTTGTGCTAGAGCTTCCTTTGTGTACACGACCTTGAGCACAAAGATTCAAAAGTTAGGCAAGTTTTGTTAAGAATATACAAACATAAGACAGGATAGGCAAATCCAAAGGTTTAAACTTTCAATCTAGTACGCAATGAGGGTTACTTAACTGGTTGGATCAAACAGTGTATAGACAATAAGGTCTTAAGTTTGGTTCCTGTTCGTAGACTTTCATTGATAGGTCATTTTTAAGTATCGCTGTAATTTCTGGCTTAGGCTCGTAGCATGCAACCTACCCTCCACCCAAAATTTGTTCAACCAAAAAAACTTATAATCAAATTCCTGTCAACCCAAAGTTGATTATCGAGCTGGACAAAGGTAGAAAATACAAGAGCATCATATTCATTTGAAGTAAAAGTACATCAAGATAACCTTTGGACATTGAAGCCATTCCAATACCAATGCTTTATCTTTTGTAAGTTTGTGATATACAAATCGGAGTCATTGAGGAAGTTCAAAAAAATTTCATCTCACAAAGATGACCAGAACCGTCAAAAGTTGCTTCAACATATTTTTACTTTTATTTTTTATATTTACAATTCTTTCATGTTCTAACAGTTTTTATGCTCTCGAGTATTGTGAATTAAATACTTTTACTCTGTACTTTTTTGAAACTTGTTATAAAATCCCCCCCGATTTTCCAATTACTTTTTCCCATTCTTCCATTCTTTCTAATTTTTCAATTTTCTCACCTATTTTTTTTTTTTCAACTTTAGGAGGACTAAACAAGCTAACTTGTTTTTAGCTCAACACTAAAGTCTGAATTATGAACTCCAATTTCTAGGCCCTTGTAAAAACAGGCCAACCCAGCCCAGTCCTAATTTGCCTTGGCCCAGGGTGAGCCATGCCATTTTGAGTGCTAAATACTCATTTTTTTATCACAATAAAAAATGATGTATTTATAAAGCATACCTTTAAAGGGGCGAACCGGAGGAGTGGTAAAATTGTTCTTTCATGACTAAAAGGTCGTGGGTTCGAATCCAGGAAACAGCCTCTTTGCAATTATGCAAGGGCAAGGCTGCGTACAAGGATTTCCTCCACCTCACGCTCGCTAGTAGGGTTTAACGGGGAGTGGTTTTTTTTTTTTTTATAAAGCATACCTTTCCAAGTTTTCAGCAGAACTTAGCTGATTGAGTTTCAGAATAGAACTTTCCAACTGATCTAATACTCTGCTTCCTCGACACTTTGTATAGCATACAGAAGGAAATGCATCATAGATGTTACCGAGATTGAAATGATTGGTCAATCTAGCATCTGAATCATCTGATAACATAATGGATATAAGAATTGGAACCTTAGATTTGAAAAAATGTAAAAAATATGAACCATAGATTTGAAAAAACCTGGAACTAATAACTTGAAGAATAGCTGCTATCATTTTTACTTCATTGCTACAAGGCTCAGCTGGACTGATAAGTTGAGATGTGCATGCCACACTTTGAAGTTATGATGATTGGCTTCTGAACATCATGACTATATTTTAGACTTGGTAATAATATGTTTAACCTTTTGTCACCAATAATCTCCACAAGAGCAACTACCATGCTTAAAATGATGGAACCTATGAATATCTCTCACAATTATTTCACGTTCTAGAAGTTGAGAAGCATACTTGATGAAGTTATGGCAATCCATACAAATGCGGAGGTTCTTCATTATTCGAATCGGTGTCCTATGGGCGGTGTTTATGATGCCAAAGACAACTGCTAGCTTTTCACTGTGATGACTAATAAGAACTTCCCCTTGTTCTTCTTCTACATCCTGCATGACCAGTTTCGCATCAAGGGAATATCCAATTTCCTTCAACCTTCCAATTAAAGTGTCCAAATATGAATATATTTCCTTGTCTTGTGGGTGACACCTATCTCCCATGACAAAAGTGTGGATTTGATCCTTTAGCTGAATCCAAGATTGACCAGGCTGCTTCTTGACACCTCTTTGATGCATTAAACTCCTTACCCTGGCAGCCTCGTTCCAGCTATGATTAGAAGCATACATATTTGATAGCAGAATATAGGCTCCTGGATCAGATGGTGCAACTTGAAGTAGCATTTCAGAAACCCACTTTCCCATCTCAATATTTTTATGAAGTCGACAAGACGATAAAAATGATTTCCATACAGAAGTCAAGGGAGAGATACCATTTTCCAAGATAAATTTCTTTGTCTCAATTAAGTGACCCGCTCGACCATAAAGATCAACCATAGAAGTGTAGTGTTCAACTCCGGGATTGATGCAATAAGCATCTTTCATCATCCTAAAATATCTTCTGCCTTCTTCAAGCAGCCCTACATGGCTGCATGCATTTAAAACCCCTAAAAAGGTAACCTCATTTGGTATAATACCCTGATTCAACATTCCTTCAAAAAGACCAATGGCATGCCTTCCTTGACCATGTAGCGCATAGCCAGATATCATTGAGCTCCACAAAACAACATTTGGTTCATTAATTTGTCTGAAAATCAGACAGGCCTCATCCAAGCTACCAGATTTAGAATACATATCAATTAAGGAGGAGCCAACATAAGCATTTATTCTATGCCCAATTTTCTGAATGTAGGCATGCATCTGCTTACCAAATTCCAAAATTCCAGCATTAGCACAAGCAGATATAACGGTTGCGACAGTTCGAATATCCACTACAACCAGTGTGCGAACCATTAACCTGAAAGATTTCAAACCATCTTCATACTTGCCATTCCAAACATAACCAGAAACCATTGAACTCCATGAAACTATTCCTGCTTTTGATTCTTTGCAAGTAACTCCAGTATTCCCTGTTCTCAGAATATCCAGAGGTACATCTTTGAGAATTGTAGATGCCTTATCCATTCTCCCACACTTGCAATACATTTCTATGAGTGAACTTCTTATAAAACCATCACCATTAAAACCAAGTTTTAAGACCTGCCCATGAAGCTGTCTCCCGAGCTCCATAAGTGATAAAGAGGAAGCCAAAATAAGAGCTATGGAGAACGTGACAGCAGAGAACAGAGTCCCACATTCCACCATACAATAGAGTTGTTGCAATGCACATCTATCACAACCACATTGCATCAGCCCGTCTATGATTGTATTCCAACTCACAACATCCTTGTAAGGCAAGTTCCGGAACATGTCAAGAGACTTATCTGCATCTCCAGCACGCAGATACGCGCCGATCATTATATTCCATGACACAATGTCTCCCTCATTCATCAACTCAAACAGCCTTTCTGCATATTCAAAAGCCTTGCATTTCAAGTAAAGATCAAGAATAGAGTTCTCCAGCACAACATCTCCATGAATCCCATTTCTCAGCATCCACGCATGGATACCCTTACCCAATTGAAGATTGTTTTCAGCTGAACAACACTTGAAGACACTAGACAAAGTATACTGATTTGGACAAGCACCCTTTGTCTGCATTTCTCTAAAAAGGCTAAAGACCACGTCTGAAGAGCCAGTTCTAGCATAACCCGAAATAAGAATGGTCCACGTCTGAGTGTTTTTGTGGAGAATTTCATCAAATAGCTTCTGGGCATGGTCCATGTTGCCGGATTTAACATACAGAGTCAAAAGATAGTTAGCCAAATTCAAAGTTTGAAGAGAACCATTCTTGAGGGAGTGGGCATGAAGAACATTCAATGGTGGTGGTGGTGGTGGCCCATTGGATACTATGGAGTGAAGGAGGGAACATGAATGGCGCCAAATGGAACACCCAACCTTCGTTTTGTGAAGCGAATTCATAAATACATTTAAGTTTCCACATAATATTAGGCTGGTTTATATGATGACTTCAGTTTGAGAATTCAAAACTCTGAAATATTTAGCAATCAGAATTTTATGCCGCAGCGACGTCGTATGCTTGTTGACGACTTCTATCACTCTGTTCTTTCAGCAAGCACCCTAGCATTTTGTCAAAATTTATTCTCGTATTTTGTCACAATTTGAACTTTTTTCTCTGATTATGTAGCATTAATTATTAAAACTATAATTGTTTACCTCACAAATAATTCAATTAAGAATAAATTTCAAGTATATACTTATGCGCATTATTTGTTCAATGTATTTTTTTAATGAATTTTGCTGATACATGCCCTACATGCATTAAAGAAAAAAAAGAATTATTAAATCAAAATAAAAGTATTTAATATTTAAAAAATGTATGAAATAATTTTTTAAGTTATTAATAGCTATATTATGAGATGACTTTAAGTATATATCACGAAAATTTGATTTATACGAACATGCGTGAGCATTCCTCATATAAATAATTTTATCCGTGTTTAAACTCGACTTGTTTAATGAAGTTGTCGATTTTATATGAGTAAATTTTAATTTGAGTAAAACTTCGGAAAAGATCAAACACAAAACACGGAAAATTGTATGAAATACTTTTCATAAAACTTATACACAGTTGAATATACAAGCTGATGAATTTTAAAATAATTTTCACCCTTTTTACAAAGAATAAAGTTGAATGTACAATTGCGTGAATTTCATGCTAGCGTTCTTTTTTTCTCTCTCTCTTTCTTTTAATCTAAATTGAAAGTATGCCGTCACTTATTCTACTTGACAATAGGTCAAGGCGTCAAGCTAGCATATGGATAACTTTTTACACTTGAAAATGTACCCAGAGATACCGTTAGCACTTTATTTCCTATATACTAGTGGGTTACCAATCATTGACAGCACCACAAATACAAGCAATACACCATTAGCCGAACCCGATAATCAAAATACAAAATACAAAATTTGGAGGGTGGCATAAAACTCAAGCTTAAAGTTTATCAACACACAAATGGGCAAATTGACAATGAGCCATGAAAAGGAGGATTATACTTTTGCCTTTCGAAAATAATGATAAATAACAAAGGGTGTCTACGTGCAAATAGGAAGAGAGGAAAACGCAAAATATTTTACAAAAAAGAATGGGATTCAAAATCTCATTTTTCAGTTAGTATCGAGCTTTCCTAGGGAGTAAGTACAACAAATTCTATAATAAGGACGGACAATCAAGTGAAAAAAGAAAGGTAGAAAGACCACGAGCCATTACGAATCAGATTGATTCGCGCTTATATTAATCATAGAGGAGGGTAGAAGTATGAAGACAAGGAAAAGCCGAGGAAGAGCAAGCCACCAACTGTGGCTACTGTGCGTTGGGAAATCCTAGATGCCAGCATGCTTCCTCCCACCACTGCCAGTGAAGTACAGATGGTGTGTCCTATAGTGGCCCCAACCGCTACTCCCAGTGCATTCTTGTGTGTCGCCAGCTGCAGAATGAAATTAGAGACCATGAAAAATCGAAGGTATATGACAAATACAGAAAAAAATGCTGCCGACAAAAATCAATCATTGAAGACATAATATCAATCATGAAAGCAGAAAATACACAGATCTTGGGGGAGGGGGGAATCAAGTTTCTTACTGCAATTGTCGCAATCTGGCTACGATCACCCCACTCAGCAAGAAATGTTAAAATAAAAGACTGCATAAAAAGAAGATATTATTACAGATGTGGTTATTATCTTTCAGTCATATACAATGCAAAAGTTGTACTTGCCTCCAAAAATATTGGCGTACAAAATCTTGAAAAGAAGCGCCGATATGAAGTTTTCCCTTGTCCACCTTCAAGTTTTTCTTCAACCTAGTTAACAAGAGCAAATTCTTAGCAACAAATTTGACCCCATTGGTTTTTATTTATTTATTCAACTGAACTACATCAACAATGGACCCATGCAAGCTGCAGCATATTTACAGGTAAGAGCTCCCCTCCACATGGCAAAGTGACCAGGTGGAATAATGGGGGAGGGGAACTACAAAAAAAAAAAAAAAAAAAAAAGCAGCAGCATAGAAACTTGCAGCTATGTCAAGGTTCTAGCTCTTAGCATATTTTAACATTCATAGAGGTCATCATCACTCATCAGTATATTCAATTTCAAACTACGATAAAATAATACAGTAATTACAATGATTATTTCTAATGAATAAAGTGTGCCATCCAGAATACAGGCACTTTAAGCAATACATCTGCATCCTTGTATAAGTACAAAGCTACAGATGCACATAATTGAATTGTGATAAGTATTATGCTATAAAGAGTCAATAGAAACATACTTCTTCCATTTCTTTCTTCTGTGAAGTTTTGGAATCTGATCTCCAAGCAATGTACAGCAATCGTAATCCAAAGAAAGCATAAAGAACTGTATATGACAAAAAAGGGATAGGCTTAGCTTCATCTTACACCAAAATTGAGCTTAACGAAAGTAAAAGTGTAAAACCCATCCATGAACACAAGTAAATAAATGGAAATTTGGTGACAAGCAAAACACTGAGGCATAAATGCCAATCCAAAAACAAATTGCTCATAATTGGTTGAGTAGCACATAATTCTGACTATAAAACCACAAACAAATTTTAATGTGCATGCTAATAACATTTATAGCTTCTGGCTTTGTATTGCTAACAAGAATTCTCATGAACTTTATCCAAGCAAAGACACAACCATACTAGGTGACTTAACCCAAATAGACAGCAAATGAAGCTAAACCAATAATAATTCTTTATAGTTGACACAATCAAGAATCAGATCGAACACCAAAGGCTAGGCACAAATGGAATGAAACAGACACAATCAACTAATATGGAAACATGGAAGAGTAAATGGAATTAAACAGCATCTGCCAAGCGCACATTGTCACATCCATAAAACATCTGAACAATACTGATTATAGTAGCTTCTATAACAGGTGCAGGGTGTGGACTCAGATCATTTCAACTCAAAACAAAAAAATAACTATTTTTTACACCCTCCTTTTACTGTGAATTTCACAAATTATAATATCAAATCTGCAAAGTGATAAGTATCAAAGCCAGAAAATTTACCTGTAGCAGCACTATTTGTATGCTTCCTTGAAATCAAATTTGGCACAATCCTGCCTAGTCCCGTAGAAAGTACCTAATTGAAACGCACATTAACTTTAATCCTGATAACATTGATAATAAGAGTTTTAGCACAAAGAAGTTGTGCTCTATAGTTGCTGAAACCAGTCTAGCACAACACCATGCAAAAAACATTCCACAATGAAAACAACAAAGCAGGAACGTTAAGGCTAAAGCACAAATAATGTTGCACTTACTGTCATTACAACCAAGGCAGCGAGTGCACCGGACAAGACAGTTGACTTAGGGTGACGCATAGCCATAAGAGCTGCTATTATAAATGTTTCATCCCCAATCTAGCATAAAAAAATTTCCAGTTAAAAGGCATAACAAAAAATAGAAGAGAGGTAACATAATAAAGCAACAAAAGCATTCTTAACAACTCGATTGCTCCTACTATTTACAGTATAGTTAGTTTGGTTAGTATTAGTTGGATTAGTTTGCAAGGGTTAACAGTTAGTTACTAATTGGTTGCTTTCTGTAGTCTATATAAGCCACACATTAGCTTTGTATCAAGCACGTTTGCTCATTCAATCAATTTCAGTTTCCTCTCTCATTACTTGGATCAAGTGAAAATGCTTGACAACACACTAGCTATAAATAGATAGTTAAAATTTAGCGATGAATGTGAGCGCAGGGAAGTGTTGTGAAACTAACCTCACTGACCATGATCATTGATAGACTAGCAAAAAGAGCATCAAAGAGTCCAAGACCAGGGGAGTCCAAGCCAAGAGAAAGGAACGAATCATTTTCTAAATCATTCAATGCAATCTGTTCACAGAAAGTGACTCACAAACATTCATTTCCAGTTTCTACGAGATCTTCCTTCGCATTTGATTCAGTTTTCTCAACAATCCAATCGAATCCAACCGAATAAAACAAAACGAAAAAGAATTATAACAGAAAGAAAGAGTAGCGAACGATGCTCACTTTCCCGCGGCGACCGAGATCCACAGATCCATCGGAATCTTCCTTCAAGTTCTGAACCAGAGAATCCTAAACATATAAATCAAACAATTTATGGCCGCGATTCATGCATGTAAACAAAGAGAGCGAAGGAGAGGGAACTAACCTGAGCAAAGGTCGACGACAAGTTGAAGAACAAGGAGAGGAGAAGGAATATGCGAAAAGCGAAAACGGTTCTTCGATTGTTGAAGCGCAGAGCCATTGTGAATCAGCGGCAGTTACAATTGCGAGGGAAGAAGAAGTAATGGAGAGAAAATGAAAAAAAAAAAAAACAAATTTCTCGGGAAAGTGGAAGAAAATAAAGATCTCAGTTAGGGAGATCTGGACACGCTTTGATTGGGATCTGAATTATGATTGCGTATGATGAAGAGATCTTCCTGTGATGCAAGATCTCGATACGCTGCTTTCACTCCGTTACGCATTTTATCTCTTTTGATTCTGGCATTGCGAGTTTTTGCAGCTAACGATACAAGAGCCTCATATCGCGCTATCTCTGTCTCAGGTTCTGATGAACCCCACCTTCAAACAATGCACCTAAAAATTCAATGCGCGTCCATGCTTATAGGTCAGGCTGGTTTTTAATTATTATATTTTAACAACCCTTGGGATCAAATATATACTCTCAACGCTCATATCTTTTCTGCACTAACTGAAGCTAGCACTAACTGAAGCTACCATCGTTTGGTCAGTCTTTGAAATTTTGATAAAGTAAATAATTAAAGGGTTTGGTGTTTTTCAACGTTATACCGAATAAAATTATCTCCTACATATAAAATTATCTGCAATAAGTTTAATACAACTTTGTTTTGGGAAGAAAATTATGATATTTTTGTAATTTTGATTTATTTCTGAGTTATTATAGTTTTTATATTTTTAATTTTTCAATCAGTCATTTTGAAAGTAAATATAGATAATTTATCTGCAGTAATTACAGAAATATATTTTCTATATAAAAATATGTAAGATCGTGTAAAGAGAAAAAAAAAATAAAGACCTGTATACTTTTATATATATATATATATATATATATAATATAATTTTATCTTTTATACAATAAGAAAAAAAGATGAGATTGGTTATATTAGTTTTTAAAAGAAAAAATTGCCTCCTAAGTTTTCTAAAATATCATCTGTCGGTCAGATTAAATCAGAGATTGGTTATATTAGTTTTTAAAAGAAAAAATTGCCTCCTAAGTTTTTTAAAATATCATCTGTCGGTCAGATTAAATCACAATTAGAAAGAGATTGATTGATGATGGGTGGTGGGTGGTGGTAAAACAATCCTCATCAATTGTAGGCTTAGACATGATTCGACTAAAATTGATTATTTTTTTCTTTTTCTGAACCGAATTGTTTAGGTTTAAATTAAGGGTTTTATTAATCTCATGTGAAAGAAGATAAATTATTTCATATTATAGAGATAAACTTGTAAGTTTCATCACCTGAAAAAATAAAAAAAAGATAACACAATTATCAAATGGTATGTAAGAGGAAAAACTATTATCATACGAGAAAAAACTTATCTCATGTAGCGTATGAGAATAGTTTTTCTCTTAAACTAATTGAATTTAAAAATTGAACTGTTTTATTTTAGAGAAATCATTCTCTCATTTTATTTATCTCATGCTTTTCTTACGTCAAAAATTGTATCACCATTTTTTAATGGATAATGGGTTCCACTATATTTTGTATCTATAATAAAAAATACTTATTTCCAATAATATAAGAAAATAGAACTCCTTTATTTAATCTGAATTAATTTTCGAAATTGATTCATATTTCAAAATCGGTTTATCGTTTATAATCGATTTTGAACATAATGACATATGTAAACCCAAGTTAGACCGAAAAATTGAAGAAAATTTTTTTTATTGTAATTTAAATAAAAAATATGAATTTATTACTGTTTTCAAAATATTTATGTGTGTATTGCAGTGTGTCACGCCCAAATGAGGCGTCCTGGTGGGTCATGACCAAACCAGGCGTGATCCACTCAATCTATGAATATCTCAAATATTTTCACTTTTACCATTTTACTCTCTCTAACTTCACTCTAACTTCTCCCTAATAGGTTATTGCTCTCCCTTCCGTGGAAAATTGGTAAGCGAAACTCTGTCCGAAAAGTAAGTTTTTAATACCTGCTTTCTAAAAGTTTAAATTACAATAATAGATTAGGAAAATGTTAGTGATTTACCAATTTATTAGTAACTTAGAAAACTGTTAGTGACCTAGAAATATCAAGTGACGTAAAATTTTTATAGTGATTTAGGAATTTTGTAGTGACTTATGAGCCATCTCAGCAGCCAGGTGGGCCTAGCCAGTCGGAGTCCCAACATTCGTATATGGAGTCACAAGAGCCGGTGTTTCATTCGATGGCAATGGCAGGGGGACGTGTCGTATACGCAAGGGGAGTGTCTTAGTCCGGACATGTCGCAATGGACGTAGGAGCATGTTCACGCACTATGCTCGGAGTTGGGCCTAGACTCAGATAGCCTTGACAGTAAGGAGACAAGTGACACTCCACCTAAGACCCATGCTTCGACATCACCCCACATGCAATTCATAATTGTTGAGTTGTGCTTAATATGTGTTGGCCTTTTTTCACCTTCAAAAAATACTCCTCGTTGGCCTCTCACCTTTCTACCATTGTAATATAACACAATACGAACAGAATCAGAATGTGAATTCATTTTTAAATGGAATAACAACAAAAAAAAGGCTATGAATAAACTAATAATTGTGTATGTAAAAGTAAGAATTGATGGTGGAGAAGAGTTGTGAAGAGTGTGTAGATGATAAGAATTTAAATAAATATATGTGCATCATTCATGCCCCAAGCGGGCATCAATATTGCATGTATCATGCTCAAATTGGGTATCACTGATCACGCTCCATTTAGACGTAACCCACATGGAAGTGATGCCTCCATAGGGCGTGATCTGTGACGCCCAGTGAGAATATGACACACTGCAATACATATGTAGATATTTTGAAAATAACAATAAATTTATATTTTTTTATTTAAATTACAATAAATTAAATTTTTTTCCCTAAAAAATGTGTAAAAGCCAGAAACAAATGTATTGAAGTAGCCAAGTAGGAGTGCAAAAACCAGATTTAGGTCCTAGCAAGCTATGCACAAACTAGATTTAGATCGATATTAGACTTGCAACAGACCTTCACACCTATAACAGACCTATGCACATGCTAAACTTGAAGATCATGATTAGACCTAGAGGTGTGAAAAAAAACTGATTCACTTGCCCTGTCCTTGATCTGACCTTGACCTGACTCATAAATACTTATTTTTTTGAACTGGTTTAAATACTGACTCACTTTTATTTGGGTCAATTTTAAACTTGACTTGTTTTAATAATAACTCATTGACCCAAAACTTGACCCATACCCATTATGTGAAAAAAAAGAAAAAGAAAATCACAATTACATTAAAAGAAAAGTTTGAACGTAAAACAATTACGTCAAATTTTTTTACGAAAAATATTTCCATCAAAATTTTTTGCAAAACGTTTTGACGAAAAAGATTTTCATCAAAATTTGTGACTAAAAACATTTTTGTAAAAAAATTTGACAGAAAAATTTGTGTGTCAAATTTTTTTACCGAATCTAAATTTTGTCAAAATATTTCACAAAAAAACATATTCATCAAAAATTTCGACGAAACACATTTCCATAGATTTTTTGACAAAAAAAATTTCATCAAAATTCTTTATCGAATTCAAATTTCGGCGAAAGTTTTCGACGGAAACATTTTCGTTAATTTTTTTGACAAAAAAAAAAAATTTCGTTGAAATTTTTAGCGAAAAATATTTCCATCGAAAATTTTTGACTAAATATTTTCGTCGTTTTTTGATAAAAAATATTTCCTTCAAAATTTTCAACGGAACACATATCTGTCAAAAAATTTCGTAAAATTTTTTGACAAAAAATATTTCGATAAAAAATTTGGACGGAAAAAATATTCTGTCAAAAATTCTTTAGAGAATCTAAATTTCGTCGAAATTTTCGTCAGAACACATTCCCATCGAAATTTTGAACGAAAAATTTTTCGTCAAAATTTTTGATTGAATACTTTTTTCGTTTAAAACATTTGATGGAGGAAATCATTTTCGTCAAAACTTTTGACGGAAACTAAATTTCGATAGAAAATTTTTTTTTGTAAAAATTTTAATAAGAGAAATAATTTCGTCGCTTTTCGACAAAAAGTATTCCGACGAAAAATAATTTTGTGAGGAAATTTTTGTTGTTTGCAACGTAGAAATTTTGACGAAATTTTGTGACGAAACCAAGTCAAAAACGAGTCAGGTCAGATTTGACCTACTTCAGAAACCAAGTCAGACCCACTTCAGAAACTAAGTCAAGTCAGATCCGACCCGGTTCTGAACTAGTTCAAAAAAATCCAAACCAAGTCTGACCTGACTAGAATCAAATTAAAGCGGATCAGGTCAAAATACCTGACCTACAAAAACTAAGTTGGGTCGAGTCGACTCAAAACCTAACCCGACCTGACCTATGCACAACCCTAATTAGACCTGCACACTTAAACCAATCCTGAACTAGACATTAGCATTTAGACCAAATCCAAGCCAAACTTAACCGAACCGGCCAGTTCGGTTTGAATTTTTTTATCACTGCTCCATACTCCTTAGATACACACCACTCAATAATTTGTGCCTATTTTAGTGGTTTTTTTTTTTTTTTTTAGTTTCTCATCTCCATATAAACAAAAGTTATGTCAAATAAGTTTTTACAAAATTCTTATAATAAAATATATAATTTAAATAATAAAGAAAAAGTTAAAAATTCCTAAGAGGAAGTTTTTTTAAATTGTATCAATTTTTTTTTTAATTTGAGCTTTTAAACTAAAATTTTGTGTAATCATGAAACATTTTTTTGCTTTTTTTTTGTATATCAACCCTAATTACCTTTTTGAGGCGAGTTAGCTCTCGAATATCTCACAAGTTTCAATTTTTTGAGCCGGGTATGAAACTAATCTAAGTTGGGGCTTAATCACAATTAAAACTCCTCATGTATTTAATAAGAATCGAACTCAGATTTCCTGTTTTTTTAGCCTTAACTTAAAAGTAACTTTTAATTTAAAAGAAGAAGTGTCAAAGAGGCTTTAAGCTTCTCCTCGTGAGGAAAAGAAGAAGCTAAAATAAGAGATGTCAAATAGACACTTAAAGGTAATACTTAAGAATTGTTGCTCAATAATGATTCAGTTAGATCTCAAAATTTGATATTTTCAAATATAATGGGTTCAATTCAAAGTTATTCGGAAATCAAATTCTCCTATTAGGGGGCGTTTGGTTCAAGAGAAAAAAATTTTTACCAGAAAAATATAATTAATAGAAATATGGTGGGAAAATTATTTTTTTAGGAAAGTTTAAAAAAAGTTGTTTGGTACGTCAAAATATTATTGGGGAATTTGGGTTAAATTTTCTGAGTATATATTTGGTTGAAGGTAAAATATTGATAGAAAAATGAGTTAA